CTATAGAACTAAAATAAAATAATAAATCAATAGAGTTTATTCTAGGGTTCCAAAGATTGTTTAATTATCACAGAGCTAGAAACAATATATCTACTCTCAACCTAATCAAGTCTACTTTTTAACACTTAAAAAAAAAGCAAGTACACAGGACATCTACAAGTAGAGCTGCCAGTTGGTGAATACAAGGAAATAAACGTGAAGTAAAGGTCAAGTCATCAGCAGAGACTTGAACCTGGACATTAAACTGCTGAACTATACAGGGAATTTATCAGATAAAACTAACACACAATTTGATTTCTTTGTCACTGAAATAGTTGGTGATATGTGATATCTGAAAACATTCCTGATATTTGTTTATGATACACGAATGTTAATAAAACCATAAAGACAGGCATAATAATACTCATTATGTAGTTATCATATATAACTATTGGTTACTACGGGGTGAGTAGGATTGACAGGAGTTCTAACTATATGATAACCAAGTATAAAGCTTAGGTGAATACACAAGCATTTGTTATGTTTTCAATTTTATCAGGCTAAAATATTCATCAAAAATTTTTATACTAAAAAGCATAATTATTTTTTACTTTTATTTAATACACCAAGAATATATATAGTCCACATACAGCTCAAAGAATGATCACAAAATGAATAACTGTATAAGTCAGTTAACTACTTCCAGAAATAGAACATATCACCACACCCCCAGAAATCTACCTCAGATCCAGTCCTTGTCACATCAAAAGTAATCACTATCCTGACTTCTAAAACCAAAGAGTAGTCATAAATAGTTCTCAGTGTCATATATATAGAATGTTCTTATATATTTGGTTGCTTTTGTCAACATTGTAAGATTAAGTTACAACGTGACATTTAGCTATAGTTTATTATTACTATAAGGTAGTCTATATACCACAATTAATTTATGCCACTATTTAATTAGTGAATTGTTTCTACTTGTATGCTATCACAAATAATGCGCCATGAATGTGCATGTCTTTTCAGTATATGTGTACAAGCATTTTCATTGGACTTAAACTTTTATGTGTTCAACCACAGTAGATACTGTCAAAAAGTTACCCAAAGTAGTTATACCAACTTCAATTCTAGCAGCAGTGGGGAAAAATTCTTGTTTCACATTCCTGATCTCAACCAACAACTGGTATGTCAGTCTTCTTAATTGTAGTCATTATGCTGGGCATGTAGTGGCATCTCCCCCATTACTAATGAAGTTGAGCACTTTTTCCTATTTGTTAGCCATTCGTTTATCTTCTGTGAAATGCTTATTCAAGGCTCTTGGATATTTTTACACAGGATTATCTATCCTTTACTTACTGATTTATATAAATCTTTTTTTTTTAATCTGGATACAAGCTCTCTTTTTGATTATTTATCTTGAAGATATATTTTCCAACTCTATGGCTTGTCTTTTTACTCTTAACAAATAAAAGGTATTAATGTACTGGGGAATGAAACTAAGCAAATTATGTTATATGCACATACAAATACATAACATATTTTTTATTATAATGCACCAAGAAAAAAGTATTAATTTTAATGGCATCCAATTTACTGATCATGTCATTTAATTGTACATTCTGCTTTCCATTTAATACATTTTACTATATATCAAGATCATGAAGGTATTCCATATCAATCTTTCAAAAGATTTACTGTTTTGGGCTTCTTGTTTACTTCTATAAGCTGTTCAGAATTATTTGTATACATATGCCCAGTTGACCAACACCATATACTGAAAAAACAGACTCACTACTCTCACTACTCTATGGCCTTCATCATAAATCAAGTGTCCTAATACCTGTGGGTTAGTTTCCGAACTTTATTCCGTGCACTGGTGTCTGTGTATTCTTGGACCAATACCACACAGTCTAAATTGCTCATGTCTTTAAGTTTTAATATCCATTAAAGTTCTCCCTTTTATTTTTCAAGGCTGACTGGACTTTTCTTTGCCTTTGAATTTCCATGATAACTTTGATTATTTTGTCAGTTTCCAACACACAGCTTCAAACACAAACATACTGAGATTTTGAGTGGAATGACACAGAATCTGTAGATCAATCTGAGTAAATATTATATTTTTATGAGAGTGAAATGTTTAATCCTTGGTTTATCCTCCAGTACTTAGGTCTTGTGTAATTTCCCTCAACAAAATTTTAGTTCACCACAAGGAAGTTTTGACCTTATTTTTTTGTTTTAATTTGGCAAATTTACTCAAAGGATGTGATGATTTTAATGTGTATGTAGATGTAAAATAAACTTTACAAAACTTTTTTAAATAAATGTAATTTTTAAGTTTGCTGCTAATAGAAACAAACTTGATTTTTATTTTAACCATGCTAAAATTAATTTCTATGGATATAGTCATGTGAGTAATGGCAGCTTTAAATTTATATATATATATAATTTACATTTATATATTTATGTATATAAATTTATTCCTTTTCTTATATTAGCAAGGATTTTTAGTGTGTAAAAAACAGAAGTAGTGATAGGCCCTCTTAACTAATTCCCTACCTTGGAGGAGAAACTTTTTTTTTTTCTTTAGAATTTATTAGCCTTTATTTCTCTCTTTTTTTATAACTTTATATTTTATTTATTTATATGTGGCGCTAAGGATCGAACCCAGGGCCTTGCACATGCGAGGCGAGCGCTCTACTGCTGAGTCATAACCCCAGCCCTGAGAAACTATTTTTTAAAAATTATTTTTGACACACAATAATTGTACATATTTATGAGATACCTACTTTTGTGATAATTCAGTGCATGTATAAAGTACGGATGGTCAAATCAGGATAATTAGCATCTCCATCTCTTCAAACATATTCTGTTTGGATCCTAAGATTTCCTCTCTTCTAGTTCTTTAGGAAATAATATGCACTATAATAAACTACTGTCACCCTATTGTTCTATAGGACATTAGAATTTATTCCTAACTATATTTTGGTATAGGCTATCCAACCTTCCTCCCTCTCTCCACTCTTGCCTACCCTTCTTCTCTTCTAGAAATCACTTTCTCAGAGAACATGTTAACATTGCACTATGAAGTATGACACCTGCTAGTTTTTTTTTAATAGATAACCTTTATCAGATTAAGGAAGTTCCCTTTTATCATAAACAGATGTTAAATATTCATAAAATGCTTTTTCTTCATCTACAAAATACTCATGAGATTTTTAAACCTTCATTCTGTTATCATAAAACAAATTATTTTCCTAAGTGGTAATCCAATAATTATTGACATTTTAGGCATTCAAATGAGCTTGCACTCCTCTTAATTACACAAAAGGAAAGGTAAGAATCCAAGATTTCTAGGTCTCCATTAGCTATATGCCAACCACAGAATTCACTTCCTCCTGTTTAAAATGTCTAATATTCTGACTAATCAATATACATGGTCTTAAACAAATGTCTCATACTATGTTATACACAAATTATTCTTTTTATTTATTCTTGTGCTTTACCTTTTTAATATAATTACACCAAAACTATCTGCGCTAAAAAAGAAATACAGTAGTAACCAAAAAGCATTTTCCCCATGATACCTATCTTTTCAAAAATGCAAGTATTAAGTACATTTCTAGTATCAGTAGCATCTTCACTCAGAAAGGGTGGCTAACTACTAATCAACTATTAGTTTAAGCGAATTTATTATTTAACTGAATTAAGCACAAACTTTAAAACGAAGGTATAATAGAGCATTTGCCTAAATCGAATACCAAGATTTCATCTGTCTAGGAAATATTCCTTTGAGATAATACATATATTTAATAGAAATACTTGTCAAAGTTAGTGTAAGGAAAGAAAATTACCAACCAGTATATAGTAAGATATGGATCTAAATTTTCCCTCAAGAAATCACCTGGGAAATTTTTTTCCCATTTATTTGAGAAATGAATCTTCAATAAGATCCTAAAATATGCAAGGCATTAGTCTAGCACTAAGGAAGAACTGTTATCAAGAAAAATAATGTACTGTTATCATGAAATTTACATCCTAGTGGCAACAAACAAGCAAAGTGTCAGATAATGATGTTACTGAGAGTTTTATTATAAACAGTGACTAGGTGACAACTTGAGATTGGATGGTCAGTGAAGACTTTGTTAAGGAAATGATTTTTTAGTTGAGCTCAGACTGACAAGAAAAGATCTACCCACACGAAGATTATGACAGAATAACACTCCCAGCACAGACAGCCACATATGCAAAGTCCCCAGTACAGGCAGTAGTGTGGTAAGTATGAGTAAGTGAGAAAAAGCCACATGTCTGAAGAACAACTGGTGAAAGCAAAGATGATGAGATGTTGTGAGGTCAGAGAGAAGGGTGGAGGGAGATTCCATGGGGCCAGAGAATGAGTTCGGAATTTCTGTGGGTACAAACCTGCTAAATCTGAAAAATTTAAACTACAGCAGTGTTAACTATGCCTTTTAGCTAATCAAGAATTTGGAATAATATGCTGACTTTCAATGTACAAACAGGTTATTTCACCAAGTTCTTTTCTTTCATTTAGTTTTGTTTTTAACATTAGAAAAATAACCTGCATTAAGTACATTACAATTTCAAATTATAATCCATTAATAATGAAAATGTTAGTGTAGGTTGGGAACTGAAACAGTCATAGGATAGATTAAATGCCATGACTCACTATAGTAGGTGGTCATCTATAATAAGAGATTGAGCTACATGGCTTTTAATGTTTCTTAGAGCTATATTAAATTTTTAATTAACCTTATCATTATTTCAGGCAGTGGTCTCCATACTCTAAATTCCTATAAATCCCTCATATCCAATTATACTATAATTAATGGTTTACTTCCACCCCCACCACTCTATACTAAACTTTGAGAGGAAAGACTATCTTTCATAATTATGAATACTTGCTAAGAAATTTTAGCTTTCCATCATATAGTATATAGTTTATAAGGAATCTAGTTTGGAATCTGTCTGGTTCTTTTAAAAAAAAACAAAAAAACCTATACCTATTTGTTTTGCAGCTTCTAATATATCTTTTAAGTCTTCATTTATACTTTGCATTTCACTCTTCTCCAGGTTTTCATTCAAAAATTTTACTATATTCTTCCATGTCGGTCCCAAATCTAAAACTTGTTCATGAAGTTTGGATCGCTTTAGCTGAAACAAATAGCATAATACAGAGAATGACTGGTTAAATTTTTTCTTAAAGCCATAGCTTAGTCCATATATTCTGCAATACAGAATACAACTTGGCACTATGCGTAAGATTTTGAAGTTGTATCTACTCAGATCCAAGTTACTCTCAGAATGAACTTTATTTAAATGTGACTTCACAGAATCTCACTTGTCTAAAAGATACATTTAATAAAATATTATTTTTTATTTTATTTACAATGCATACCCATCATGAATTTCTATACAAAGTAAAAAGTTAAACCAACATCCAGAAGATAGTAACAACTGATAACATCCCACATACCTCTTCCCAATTTCCTTTGTGTGTGTGTGTGTGTGTGTTGTACCTTTTTTCTTTTTTTTTAATTTTTATGTGATGCTGAGTATCAAACCCAGAGCCTCACACAAGCTAGGCTAGTGCTCTACCACTGAGCCACAACCCCAGCCCCCCTCTTCCCATTTTCTAACTGCTTATTTTTAATATCACTCGGACTATAATATATATAAATAAAAGCTTTATGTCCTACTTTATAACGAAAGGCATTTAAAGATAATTAGATTTCCATAGTTGATCTCAATATATTCAAGTCAATATTGCTCTCCTATAATACTATAATTCTTTGCTTGAGACTAACAATCTTTTCATTCACTAGAACTAACTACAGAAAGCAATACAAACTTTAAGTCAAATCACTGGCTTTAATCCATAGATAAAAGTCATGAAACACTCTAACCAAATGAAAAACTGGCGAGTCAGGTAGAAACTGTAATTTTACTCTTGACTGTATTCATGATATTCTTTATTCATCATTCCCTTCCTATTTTCTAATTTTAAATGGGGCTGGTCAATCTGGGTTTAGTGGGGAAAGAATGGGCAAGGATAGATATGAAATATATCAGCCATAAAAGGAATTGTTACAATAGGGTCATGGGTCCATAATGATTCATATTACTTTTATCTCTACTTTTGTATGTGTTGGATATCATCTCCACACACCCCTCAACCCCTATCCCTGTTCCACCCCACCCCCACTCCAGTCCTGGGGATTAAATTCAGGAGAAGTGCTCTACCTCTGAGGTACATCACCAACACTTTTTAAATTTGATTTTAAAGGGTGTAGTAGAGTGACAAAAGCTGGCCTCAAACTTTCCATCCTCCTGCCACAGCTTCCCGAGTGGCTAGGATTATAGGTGTGTGTATCATGCCCAACCATGTTTGGCATTTTCTGAGATTAAAAAGTTTCAGCTTTTTATATATACCACTTTTGGGGAAAAAAGGACTAAAAGCCAAAAGGAATAAATGAGATGATATGGGACAAGCAGATAGTCCTTATTCACTTTCAAATTTTAAAATCTTCTGTTCCATAATAAATTCTGAATTACCTGCTAAAGGCCTTGAGGAAGAAGAAAAGAATTCAAGTGTAAACTATCAATATTAACTAATGGTACAGAATATACCCTATTTTTAGTGCTGTGAAAAATATAAAATAGCTCCTATTGTAAAGGTTTACTGTTTTGTATCTGACACAATTCTGCATTGTTAGAGGAAAAACATCTAAAAACTGTTCTTCCTAGAATCAATCTTTAAGTGAGGCTATTAATAAAACTACATAAAGACTTCTAGCAATAAAATTCCAACCTACTAGGAAATATTATTATCCTAAAATAAAGTCAGGAATCAACACCTGAAGTAACTACTGTTTTTTAAAAGAACAGTGCAAGGCCAGATCCTTCACAAACTATTACATGGCTCATTTCTTCATATGTGCAGTTCATGTATAGCTTTAACGCTATAAAGTTCACAATAGTATGACTAAACTTCCTAAACATTTATCCTTTTTCTAGTGAAAAGTCAGTCCATTATTTATGTGTTGAAATGTCCTTAGAGGATTCAACTGATTCTTAATACTACTTTAATTTTTTAATAAATTTCAACAACTTAAAGATAAATGGTTTTAAAACTATCCAAAATACATTTTGGTATGAACAGCTACAGGTTTTGCTATGCAAAATCACATTCAGGAAGAAACACAGTAATCTAAACATTAAAAATAAATAAATTCATCATAGTAATACAAACATCCTCACATCTACCAACTGATCAAAATCTATATTTTACGGGCTTAACTGTGTCCCTCAAAATTTATATGTTGAAGTCCTAACTCCTAGTACCTCAGGATTTGGCCGTATTTGAAGACAGGGCCTTTATAGGAGTAACTGAGTTAAAATAAAGCCATTTAAATGGACCCAATCCCACTGACTGATAAACATACAAGAAGATGAAATCTGAACACTTAAGGAGACACCAGTGACATGCTGATACAAGGAGAGAAGACTCAGAGGAAATCAAACCTGCCAATACACCTTTATTTCGACTTCTAGCTTCAGATTGGTGAGACAATAATTTTTTGTTGTTTAGCTTTCCAATCAATGGTATTTTGTGAAAACTAATACACCACATGTCAAAGGCATTTCTAAGAATCTCTTCTATATATTTTATAACTATATGCACAGTTTTTTTTCTGTAAGTCATGACATAATATACTTTTATTTTTGTTTAATATTAATTAAATTTGTAAGTACATGTAATTTTTTGATACTTTTTTAAACTTATATAAGTTAGTTTACTCATCGGGAGAAATTCTTTGTCAAACCATATACCCTAATTTGTAGTACAGAAAATACACTCATTGAACCTATATAGGACAGAGACTGAAGAAGTTCCTTTCATAAGACAAAAGTGACATTTCAAAATGATAACCATTTTGCCCTGGTGGAATCTATATTTACAGCAAAGGTAAAATTAATATTTATTGTATAAAATGACTCATGAGGAAACTTGTCCACATATTAGTTATTATGAAAAGTAGTAGTTGATATTTACTAGAAAAGCTAAAGAGTCTGTAGTCAATGTAAACTTTTGTTTCTTATTTTGTTTCATATTTATTTTTGAAATTTTAATCATAAAGTGACTTTTTAAATAACAAGTGTTTTCTTAAGCTTTAAATACCTCTCATAAGAGGTTTAAGCCCAATTATAAGCATAAGCCAATTATAAGACCAACTACTGAGCTCAAGAGATTAATATCTATATTTCTCATATTAAGGTACAGACATTGTTTCTGTTTATTTGATAAAAATTTTACCAGAGACCTAAAAACTTACTCAGATAATTCAGAAGTAAATTACTGGATTATATCACAAAATAATTTGAGCCAGGGACCTTAGCAACAGAAAAATTATAGTTCTGATTATTCCTCTTGACAGTACAGTGATGGGTGCTTAATATTAAGTTGTCCCATAGGTACATCAGTACACCTACTCTCCTTCTTGGTCTCATGCCAAACAAGATAAACCTTCCATTTTAGCACAAAAAACAAAAAAGCAATGTCAAATATATATACATACTCTATAAGAGTTCTCATTTAAAAAACTTACCTTTAAGTCAGCCACTTCTTCACTATAATTATCTTGCTTGGTAACATTTGAAAAGGAGCGCAAGGCTCCTGTGAGGCGAGGCAAAGCCATCTATTTCTCAATCAGTGATCCCTGCAATGAGAAACCTGAAACTGAAACAAAATAAGATGATATTTATCTGTTCAGAAATGGGAGGTATAATCGACTCAAAAAACTGACCAATACAAGGCAAGGGGGAGAAAAAACAGTTAAAAATTCTCCTGATACATTTCCAACTCTTGAAGGTTTTTTTTGTTTCATTTTGTTTTGTTTTAAATAACACATTTACTATGGTTGCAGAAAAGAAAAAGGAACAAATAGATATTTGTTTCAGGATATTATTATACTATTACTTCAAAATGACTTCTACACAGTATTTGAATATAAGCCTCAAATATTGTTTTACTACTACCAATAATATAAAGACATGAAGAAAACTGACAATATTTTCCCCAATTTTATTTTACATGCACTGATTTCAAATTACACAACTTTCCAGTGGTTTTCTCTGTTTGTAATGCTCTTCCCACTGATGTTCATATATTTGGCTTCTTAACATGGAACATTTTTGGTACTCAATAATTTTTTTTTCAATTAAAAAAAGGAAGAAAAACAGAGAAAAGGAGAAAATAGGAACAGGAGACTGGAGTAAAAAAAAAAAAAAAAAAAAAAGAATCAAAGCAGCTGGTGATGGTAAACTCCCAGGGAAAAAGAAAGTCTGATAACTATGTCTAGTCTCTGTTAGCATGCTTGCAATTAAACAACCAATGTCCAGGCAAATAGATTTAATAATATTTGCATTTGGAGAATCCTTATCTATCTCTTTTTAAGATTGTCCTGGCTTAAGATTGCTTATTAGAACAAAACTACTATTTACAGTTATAAAATCCCCAGAGAATGTCAAGTAAGTTTTCTAAGTCTTACAACAATGCTCAACTAGATTCCCTCTCCACACCACTCCCCACAGGACATTTGGCAATATCTGGAGACATTTTGAGTTATCACAATTAGAAAGGAAGTGAAAGTGGTCTATGACTTCTGATGGGTAGAGGTCAGTGAAGCTGCTGTACATTCTATAAAACACAGGATAGCCTCTCCACAACAAACAATTATCTGACCAAAACTGTCCAATATAAGAAGGAAAAAAAAACAGATGGATGGGGGCAAGGAACATACAAGATATTTTAGACCACTCCCAGCTTCTGCTGTTCCTCTTAACTAAATCTCTATAAAGCTTAATACCTAGAAAATCTGACTCATATATTAAAATAATTAGATATTACATAACTGAGATTAAAAAAAATAAAAGAAGGATTTTTAAAATACTGAATAAGAACTTGCAGGGTTTGAAAATATATTTTATAAATAAAAATATATAATTGTTAAATTTGAAAACAATCAACAGATAGACTACAGAACTGATTAATCACAGCTAAAAGGAAAAGTATGACCTGAAAGAGAGCACTAAAGAAATAATCCAGCACACGTCACAGACAAAGAAGCTCAGTTGTACAGTGTTTGCCTAGCATGCACAATATCCTGAGGTCAATCCCCAGCACTGCCAATAATAAAGAAAGAAAAGAAATAAAAAGTATATTTGGGCTCAGAGTGACCAAATTAGTTTCCTGACCCCTGATATAGGTCATTTTCTGAGCAAAATATAGTAAGATTAAAAATCAGAAACAAAATGATAAGATCTACAAACATACATAATTACACTGCAAATCAGTAAGGAACAGGTATGTGAACATACTTTTAAAAAACCAGTTGGAATCTACATCACACTGGAGAATTTCAGTCCAAAAAATTTGCAAATAAACTCCCCAGGGTAGCCAACTTTAGATTCCAACTGCCCATTGGGAATGAATTTAGGAGAGCATTTGTGGAAATTAAGATGATTCAGAAAGTTATAAATGAATTTTTCTAACAGTGAGCAACATATTTCCTGAAGCATGTAGAGGAAAAATATGACATAGGGAATTAGTGGACAGCATAGGGCAGAAATTTTCAATTTTTATTATTTATTAAAGTCACCTAGAGGGCTTTCTAAAACAAATTGCTGAGCCCTACCACCTTAATCTTTACCCCAATTTTCTGATATGGAAGATCACACGGCACTGAATTAGGGCATAAAAGTTTGCATTTCTAACAAGTTCACAGATGAAGCAAAAACTCCACTGTTTTAGAGATGGTGTCCTTCATCCTTAAATCACCAGTTTTGCCCCAAGTCAGTAGTGAAAAAGAAACCCATCTAGTAAGAAATTGGGAGTCAGAATTTATGTGCAGTGGGGCTGGAGTTGTAGCTCAGTCGTAGATCACTTGCCTGGCAAGTGTGAGGCACTGGGTTTGATCCTAGCACCACATAAAAACAAATAAAAGGCAATGAGTCCATATACAACTAAAAAAAAAAATTTTTTAAATTCATGTGTAGTATACATCCTACCAGCCTTTATCAATGGGATTCTGTGAGATGATTAAATTCTACTGAATGATTGAATGTATCTTGAATGACTTTTTCTATTAATCCTCTCAAGGACTGTACAAAGCTCGAATCATCTACAGAAAACTAAGGAGCTGAGAGCATAGTGGCACACACCTGTAATCCCAGCAACTCAAAAAGTTGTGGTAGAAAGATCACAAGATTGAGGCCAACCTGGGCAACTTGGCAAGGCCCTGTTTCAAAAAAAATTTTAACAAAAATTTAAAAAAGGGGATGTAACTCAGAGGTAAAGCACTCCTAAACCCGGTTAATCCCCAGAACACACACACACACACACACACACACACACACACACACAAATAAGTAAGGCATACAATAAATGCTTTAGGGGAGTGGGGCTGGGGCTCAGTGGTAGAGCGCTTGCCTAGCATGTGTGAGGCACTGGGTTCGGTTCTGGGCACCACATATAAATAAATAAAAAACAAAATGAAGGCCCATCAACTAAAAAAATATTTTAAAAAATAAAAATAAATGTTTTAGAACACTAGAGTTTAAATTTTCTACCCACACTGAAGGGCTGCAAAGATGCATTCTAAAGTCTTCAAAGACCCTGACACTAAACTGAAAATATTCTGCCTCAATAGTGGTGCAAGTAGCCATTTGTTTATAAGACCATGCCTGAGGTAGAATATTCCATATATCATGTCTTTTTTCCGATGTTACATTTTGAAAGCATTGATTTATGTGGTAAAGGCACAAGTTCACTTTAGATCCCACCTCACTCTTAAGAAAAAAGCAAGTGCTCTTGAACAGCTTCTGTTAAGATTTGGATATAAGGTGCCCCCAAAAGCTCCTATGTTAATGCAGGAACTTTCAGAAGTAAAGTGTTTGGACTGTGAGAGCTATAACCTAATCAGTCCATCCTACTTTGCATGGACTGACTGGATGATAACTATGGGGTACAGATGGAGGAGATGGGTCACTGAGGATATGTCCTGGAAGAATTGTTCTTCCCGACAGGCCCCTTCTTGGGCTTTCTCTCTCTGCTTCCTGGCCACCACGGGGTGAGTTGCTTTCCTCCATCATGTCCATCAATCATGATGGTCTGCCTCACGTTGGGCCCAGAACAATGGACTCCACCATCAATAAACAAAAATTTCTGAAACCATGATCCCCAAATACACTTTCCCCCATAAGCTGTTCTTGCATATTTTGATCACAATGTTGCAAAGCTAACTAAAACAGTTCCCATTTAAGTTAGGAAACACATTGGAAAAGAGAGAATAAAGGAAGCATAGGAAAGACAATTACATACCTACATATGTACTTTTCATGTAATACAAAATATATAATGATTTCTTAAAAACAAAAAAATATGTATAGGGTTCTTATTCTCTTAACTTACTCAACTAACTACATACAAATCAAAGTTCCCACCCAAAGATTGGGGCAAGTGGAGAAGCCTTGACAAGCAAATAACCACAAATCAGTATTTATACTATAGAAGATCCCCTACAGTTATATTGATCTTACTTTTCACAAAGCATAAGAAAATCATTTTCTTTAAATGTCTTTAGGAAAACAAGTGGCTAGAATATTTCAGCTTCTTATGAGGACAACAAGAGTCTGAATAAACACCTCACAAAGATCAAATAAGTACACAAATCAGTCTCAAGAAAATCTGGAACAGACCCACTACACATGTGTTTATATTAACTCTCTCCCCATTGGTCCCAGTGGAAAATGACCTATAATAGATTATGTCTAAAAAACATAATTCTCATTCCAAAGGTTCAAGGAACATAGGCTAAAAAATTTATTTGACTCAAAAACTCTGAATACATCTTCTCAAGAGATACATTCTTAATACCAAACCAAAACTCTAGTGATGCTCAGCCTTAGATGTTGAGAAGGAAAGGGTTTTCCTGACTTTACAGTCCTCCGTGACACAATTATATAGAGCACCATTCCTTTCCTGAAGCATTTAAAAATTTGGTTCATTTTTACTCTCAATCAGTGTTACTCCAAATTTAAAGATATGATGACCTTAGTTTTTTGTTATAAATAGCTCTAATCCCAATACCATGTAAGAGGTTGACATATACATGGTGATAATGAAAGAAATGTCTACCTCTGCCTCCCAAATATAGAAAACTGGAAGCCAAATTTTCATAAATAGGACTCAAATGAAGTTGCACAGTAAACAAGAAACAGAAAAACAGAGAACTAACTCACAGGGTATTACAAATTAGAATCCTCTCCTCCCCTCTTGGCTTCCTGGTACCACCCCCTGAGCTGCTTTCCTCCTCCATACCCTTCCTTGGTGACCTTCTGACTCACCTCTAGCCTAGAACAATGGAGTTAGCTGTCAGTGGACTAAGACCTCTGAAACTATGAGCCCCAATTTAACTTTTCCTCCTCTAAAATTGTTTTTGTCAGGTTTTTTTTTTTTTTTTTTTTTTTTTTGTCACAGCAGTGAAAAAGCAGATTAAAACATACTTGATCTTCCTGAAAGGATGTATTGTATAACCTAAAATTACATGACATTCTAGTAGATTTGATATTTATGATGTAATTTATAATAAACTAATCATAGAAACAGGGTAATCTCTTCCGTTATATCAATCAGAAATGTGTCTTGACAAATACAATCCATAGAAACATTTTCTGTGT